CCCCCATATCAGGGTTTGAACTCAGGTTCTTTCTTGGGGTGCTGCCCCCCATATCAGGGTTTGAACTCAGGGCCTTGTGTTTGTGTAACATGCTGCCCACCATTTGAGCCGCACACCCAGCTGGCCTTGCTGCTGGTTATTCTGGGATGGAGTCTAGCATGATCAGACTCGGTATCTCAGCCTCCTAAATAGATTACAGGTGTAATCCTGGCATTTGGTTCATTGAGTGGTTTTGAAATGTACCTATCCAAAGTGCCCTGGCCCATGCTGAGGGCAAGGCTGGCTCTCCAGAGGCAAACACGCTGGCTGTCAGATTTGAGCAGTGATATGTTTACGTGGAGGGCTGAGATGCAACCATCAGGAAAAACTTTCCCCATACAAAGGTCAGTGCTGTAGACCAGTAGACTGTGTGTGTGTGTGCATTTGTGTATGTGTGTGCATGAATTCATATGTGTATGCATGCGTGTATGTCTGTGTATATATCTGTGTGTCATACACACACACACACACATGTACCCCAGTAGTGGGGCTTAAACTCAGGGCCTGTAGCTCTCACTTGGCTTTTTGCTGAAGGCTGGTGCTCTACCACTTGAGTCACGCCTTCACTGCTAGTTAATTGAAGATAAGAGTCTTTAGACTTTTCTGGACTTTCCTGCCCTGGCTGGCTTTGAACTGAGACCCTTAGATCTCAGCCTCCTAAGTAACAAGGATTGTAGTCATGATCTGCTGCTGGCGCCCTGCTGGTAAAGTGTTTTGATCAGGGAAGGCTGAGCGTGAACAGCCCTGACATTCTAAGCTTTGACAAGGAAAGTGGCAAACTCTGACACATGTGGTGTGGTTGACGGGTGGGAGGAGTGGGCGATGTGAGGGTGTGGCCTGAGCTCCTGTGCGGGCCGTGCCCGGGCCGAGGCCTGAGAGGTAAAGCGGCTGAAGCCCATGTGCACTGGTGCTGCAAAAATAACCACGAGAGACACAAAAACATCCAAGAGCCTGGGCACTGGTGGCTCACGCCCGTAATCCTAGCCACTCCAGGGGCTGAGGTCTGAGGATCGCGGTTCAAAGCCTGCATGATCATGACACCCTTCTCTCCAATGAACCACCACAAAACTGGAAGTGGAGTTGTGTCTCAGGTGCTGGAGTATTAGCTTTCAGCCAAAAAGCTCAGGGACAGTGCCTAGGCCCTGAGTTCAAGCAAGCCCAGCACTGGCTCCAAAGCAAAAACAAAACAACACAACTGCCCAGGGTCAGGAGCCTCTGCTTCCTTCTGCCCGGGCTTTCGCTGTCCTGGGGGTGCGCAGCGGGGCCAGGCTGCTGACCCGGCTTCTCATCGAGGCTCTGAGCCCAAACTCGTGGGTCCGAGAGGGCCTAGCCCGGTCCTCCGCCCGCGGCTGTGAGCAGGTTCTTGGAGACTCTGCTTCGCGGCTGTCTTCCTCGGGGCTTGTTCCAGTGTCTGCCGGTCTGCCGGCCACCCCTCACCAGGGCCGGCTCCCCACCGTCCCCATTTGGCAGATCTACCACCCCTGGGTTGGGGGCCGCCAGGTCCCGGCTCTCCGCGTGACCCGCTCACCCTGTCCCCCAGCCACCTGCGTGGACCTGCAGCTCAGGACGTGCGCCGACGCGGCCTACAACCGCACGGCCTTCCCCACGCCCCTGGAGCACCGGTCGCGGGAGGCGGTGGAGTTCAGCTTTGAGTACATCCTGCTGGGCGTCCTGCACCACCTGCTGGAGGGACAGTGCAACCCGGACCTGCGGCTGCTGGGCTGCGCCGTGCTGGCCCCCAGGTGTGAGGGCGGCCGCGTGCGCAGACCCTGCCGGCGCGTCTGCGAGGGGCTGCGGGAGGCCTGCCGGCCGGCCTTCGACGCCATCGACATGGCCTGGCCCTACTTCCTGGACTGTGCCCGCTACTTCGCCCCGGAGGAGGACGGCTGCTTTGATCCCCTGATGCTGCTCCGGGGTAAGCAAGGCCACGGGGGCTCGGGGGCCATGGGGTGGGAGACGGGGCCACGGGGGCTCGGGGGCCATGGGGTGGGAGACGGGGCCACGGGGGCTCGGGGGCCATGGGGTGGGAGA